AGAAGCTCGTTCCTCTCGAATTGGCTGAACGAGAGTATCAACCCGAGCTAGCTTCCCCAGTAGTTTCCGAGGACAGTAATTCGGATCCTCCGAGCAACCGCCCCACTAGAGCTGCTGCTCAACAATGTAAGCGGAAACTGCAAGCCTATTACAGCTCTGACCAAGAGTAATTCCTTTTACATCCAATTTAGATAACTATGATGATACTGTGGTGTGATGTCAAGTAACAAACCATTACAAGTCACTATGACCCAGGACATTCTCATCACCGTAGATTCTGTTGTTTGAATTGTGTGATTTAAATCTTTAATTGTTGAATAGGCTATAAATAACATTATTTATCTAGAGTATCTGAGAGTTTGCAGACTTTGAGATTTTGTAACATACACATTACATGTTATAGCGACACCAGTCACAGAGGCTAGTGTAAGTTCTTAGTTATCAGCTTCAGGTAATTCATAATAACATGTTCCATTTAACATGAAATCAGCAAGACTTAAGTTTCTTGTATGTCCTTGACAAATACGGGACATTCGTTATGTGTGTACTAACATACTAACATACTAACATACTAATATTAATACCAACTTCGGGATAGGTGTGTCAGTACTCCAATTTACACTGCGACCCTAAAACTCTCCCCCCGGAGTTATGTTGGAAATTTCCAACACTAAATACAACACTGTTGTATTATTATTAATTATTACTAAATCTACTAATCATTGTAGTAATTAAAATTAACCAAACGTAGAGTTCACATGTACTAATAATTACATCTGTACAATAAGGCTAGAATTCTTACGTCACCAGACGCCAGTATTGCGTCAGATTCCATTATAATAAACACAACTATATCCAGTGTGTCTGAGAATTGAATTTGATTCTCTATAAAACAACGGTGTTCTGTGTGATAATTAATTGCAGATAAACTGATCCCCAACTAATGCCAAATAGAGCGTTTATAGTTATAACTGTTATCTGGTAATAAATTTAACGTCACGCGTGAATGCCCTGGAGAGACTTTAATTCATCTCCATTGCTCGTTTACCATCATAAAACGGGCAAATAATAATATTTAACTCCTCTGAATAATAAACCCGTCCTTATCCGAGCATTTCAATCACAACTGCGAGAAATGATAATATTCGTAGTAAATAATTTGTGTATCAAATGCGGGACGCGGAGCGGGGCAGAGGAGATGCTAGTACACGAGGCGACGCGCTCAGAGAGAGACGCCATTACCCAAGCCACCAGGGTAGACGCCACCAAGAGCTCCAGATGAAAGTCGCCACTGTGAGGTGTGAAGAACCTTTGCAGACAACAACTTAGCTGGTGTCAGTGTCACTTTACACATCGTGTTGAATTGTCAAGAGATTTAATTTGACATTCAGCCAGGAACCTGTTAAATTTGTTCCGTGTAGCACAACGTGACCGGCCAGATAAGCGCGTCAACATCTAGGCTAGGCTCGACACCATGTGTTCGTTACAACGACGCCTGAACCTAGGACGCGAACTTCGGCAAGCCTTAACTTACACAGTGCCCTATTAGCTAAGTATCTTTATTCCCATTTGATGCATCATTTAGGAGAGGGTTATAGCTGCGTAGCTTGTCAGCACGCAGAGCGACTATAAGAAACCAAAGGTTATTATTTACCTCCATTATTTAATTTAATTTTCTTGAACATAGATGTCTAGCAGCTTAATCTGTTGCTACTGAATATAATTTGATTTACAGCGAGTGTGAAGAATTCCCCGAGCTGTCATTTCCCGTGTTAATCATCTCCCAGTGTTCCATGATGAGTCCAGGAGATTCCGAGGATGAGTCATAACCGACTTCTTGGAAATCGTCTTCAAGCTACGACCCTTTCCGTATTCCTTAAATTCCATTGTCTGTAGTATTATTCATGCAGAGCACTGTTTCTTTGGATTGACATGTGTTTATTATAATTATTAATTTCTCATGTTATAATCTATGTTCTTATTGGTGATAAATATAATGATTCTATAATTGGTCATAGGATTAGATTATTGCATAATGAACTGGTGCACGAACCACACTAGTTCCTGGACATATATGAAGTTCCAGTAATAACTCCCCAATGTAGGTGTTTGAGGCTTTGATTCAGTTAAGTTATACAGCCCATTAATTATATAAGTGATCATATTCTCTAGTATTTATCCATAGTTACTGGTTCATCTAGGAATTTTCTAATGATCATATTTTATTAGTTTCCCTCTTTACTATAAAAGCGGGTGGTCCTTCGTAATAGAATTTCATTACATTAATATTTAAATAAATAGAGTCAAGCCCCAAATGTCCCACACATGGGCCTCAGTGTTTATATATCTGTAACCAGTTACCTGAACAAACTTCAAGTTATATCTAATGTCACTGATCTCACTGCAGTCCCTGAATCATACTTGACTGTAGTACTTGATCACATTCAGTCTTCTGAGTTAAATAATATGTAATTAGGCTTGAATTTTAGCCTTTCAAGAGTTAACAGGGAAATTAAATGGCATTAGACTTCTAACCTCTGCAACTCTAGTACGGGACATCCGTCCTGTACGAACAGACGCACAAATGTGTGATTACTAACATCAAATTAATCTAATAATTCAAAGGAGGAGTATCGGTGTTCGTCTGTTCTAAATAAGACTTCGACCCGTGAGCAGCCCCCGGGGAATTTTGTCGGAAAATCCGACACCATTTAATAATATCATACAGACAGATAATATTGCTCTATTGTATAAACAAGTTACCCATAGAAAATGTAACTTGTAATGGAATTCCCGTCTATAGAAAACGGGATATCATTACCACATACTATTATAAATTCACCACCTATTATGGTGGGAATTATTCTTAAATCCATTAGTCTTTGGACTTTACCATCATAAAAACATCTCATATAAATTAACTTAATTATCAATATCAAAATAGAGTAAATGTGACCCTTCTATCACTTACTGTCATCTGGACAAAGTAAGCCAGGCGTCAGTTGTGAGGGAGTGGTCAGCCATTGTTGTTGTCACCTCCGAGACGCGTGGAGCAAATTCGGCTCCTATTATATCTGGACAATGTCGGCCAGTAGCGTCAGTAGTATGGAGTGTCAGCCATTACTTAGACCAGAGGCACGGGAGCAATTCGGCTCCTGTTAATTTTACTTGGACGAAGTGTTATGGAAACCAAAGGTGTATCATCATCAACACGCTGTCAACAAATACAAGTTAAGTGTTCTGCCGAAACCCATTTATCTATCATTTGTGGCCATTAATGTCATTAGATAGGGTGATCCGCTTAGATCACGAGATCGCCTCATACTAAAGGTAATTAAGCCTTGGTCTTTATGGTTCCTTGTACAGTGTTTTCTCTGATATAGCTGTCATATATTAGGATTCTGGCTTCAGCTAGCGCCTTTTTGACAGGTCAAGACGAGGAAGCATGCTTTGTGTACCAGTTACTGGGTGATGGAAGCTACCTCAAAGAGGATAATTTGGTGTCTACATCCTGGTTATACCTGGTGGACTAAGGCCTGCTGTACAAATAAGATAAGGAACCTCTTCAATGTATGTAGTCTAATACTGTAGTTTGATTGGCTGCATATATATAAATTCAATATAAACCCCCCCTAATGTGTAGAGGATCGATTTGAAAGATTCTGGCAGAAATACAGTCCACTTAACATCATACAAATTGCTATCGAAGTATATAAATTAACGTAAATATAAATCTCACAGGTCAGTTCCCACAACTGACAGTGTTGTTAGAGGGGGGAGGTGTGTTCCCGCCAATCTGACAGTTGGACCCAGTCAGCTGCTATTGATGCCAGAGGCGTGAGGTGTGTTCCTGCTGGTTTGACAGTTGGACCCAGCCAGCTGATCGTGTTGCCACAGGCCCGAGGTGTGTGCCTGCTGCCTGACAAGTGGACCCAGTCAGCTTACCGTGTTGCCAGAGACGCGACGAGAGAAAGTTGCCGCCATCGGAAATTTCCACCTGTTTATTTCCTTATGCAAGTGTATATATATTTTCATCAGTAAACTTTTAATTTTACCAATGTGTTTGAGTGAGTCTCCATTCTCTAGGGCTATTTTGAGTCAGACCATTTATGTCACCTTGCACTGCACATGAGATTGCATCCTTGATTTAAGATAACTATGAGACCACTAACGTGTTGCTGGGACACGAGTATAAACACCCAGCTGGCGACCTTTGAACAGACTAGATAGAGATAGAATCTCCCAGTGTCAAGACGGGCAGGTTCAGGTGTGATACAGGTAGAATTGAACCTCTCCACTCGCTAGGGGTATATATAAGGCCAGCCCTTAGTAGACTGGGGGAGCCCCAGGACGAGCAGTGGCGCCAGGTACGGAGAGGCGAAGACCCGTGGGAGCGGCCCCAACCATATAAGGTAGGAAGGGGGAGAACCTTGACACTATGCATGTACACCTGCTTAACTATATGCCCCCATTACATACACTTTCATCTTACACACCTGTCCACATGCTACACATTCTCACCTAGCCTTACACCCCTGGCGACCCAGAACGTCCCAGGAAACACAGAACGTCCTGGAAGATGCAGAATGCCCTGGGAGACTAGGCACGCCGCGCGTGGAGGGCCTCCAACACCCTTTGAGACGTGACTCCTGCGCCTACCTGTGACAGGTGTGCCCACTGGCAAACCTGTCACAGGTGCTGCGGACGGTCTACATCTCAATTTACGCTACTGAGCCGTTCTCCTCTACCTCTGGCCTGCCACCTGGACCTGTATGTAACGATGACTTAGTTTCTCGCATATCAGCGATCAATCCCCGACGGTCCAAGTGGTTGGGCACCATTCATTCCCTCGGTTCCACTCCAGTTCCTTCTCCTTATGTTCATCCCATGTGCTAAATAGTCACACTGATTCAGAACTTTCTGTTCTTATTGTAGCTCTTAGTTTGTCTCATATCCCAAGTGCTACATAGTCACACCGGCTAAGTACTTACTTCTGACAGTTGCCTCAACCTGCTTCACCTCTGCTACAGGTTGACGATCAACGCCAACTGTCCCATGAACCTCCACAACTTTCCCATGGATACTCAGCGGTGTCCTCTCCAACTTGGCTCCTGTGAGTGTTCCAGAGTGTCCCAGAGTGTCCCAGAGTGTCCCAGAGTGTCCCAGAGTGTTCCAGAATGTTCCGGAGTGTTTCAGAGTGTTACAGAGTGTTCCGGAGTATTGGCTCACTCCGGCTTCTACCTCATGCAGGCCATCTTGGGGCAAGTGTCCGGGGGGGGGGGGGGAGGGGGTCAGTTGTAACCAATTTTAAGTGGAGATTGGCCACTGATATGTGGATGTGGCCACTAGAG